AAAAAAAAGACAACAATTAACCAGGACACACTTTCATGACAAAGCATTTCTTGACAAAACATGAAACAGATCAACGTGCAACAAGCTTTTACCCATCAAAGAAACAATATAATGAAAAACCAGAAACACCTACATGCAAACATGTCAAAGACTACATTTTCAGACAAAAGCAAGAAACTTTGGCCAAATCAATTCAATACCTCTTCAGCCTCGCGAAGAATAACATCCCTCTCCAGGTTAATCCTGCGCTCTTCAAACGTTGAATTCTGCAGGATATCCGAAAGAATATCAAGTGCAAGGGGCACATCTTTATCCATCACTTTCGCATAGTAGGTCGTCTGCTCCCTAGAAGTGTAAGCATTCAAATGGCCGCCAATATTCTCAATCTGCTCCTCCAATTCCCTCGCCTTCCTTTTCTCGGTCCCCTTAAATATCATATGCTCCAGAAAATGGGATGTGCCATTAGTATCGGCACTCTCGAATCTCGATCCTGCGTCAACAAAAACACCGACAGTGGCAGTGGATGCGGTGAGATCCGACTCTGTGGCGATCCGGAGGCCATTGGAGAGAGTGGTGACTCGAGTGAGCGGCGCCGAGAGGATATCTGTGTGAGAGACTACTGCTGGGTGAGGGGAGTTGTAACGGAGGAAGCGAGGGTCGGGATCTTCGAGCTTCTGGAGCTTTTGCTTGACGGATTCAGCTAATCGGTCATATGTCATGGCTGTCGGCGGCGGAGGCTGGGGGAGCGCGGCAGGGTCGGCGGCGGTGGCAACGGCGGTGGAGAGAGGCCGTCGCGATTTGAAAGCGCTCGCCGATTTTCGGCCGCGGCGTACGATGTCAAATATCTGACGGATCTTCATGGCTGCTTCGGCGATGGGTAGGGTTAGGTCGGAGTAGAGAGGTACAGATGCAGAAAGAATGTAATGAGAGAAGAGAATGGGGAATATATTGTATTATTATATATCACGAACTTGTGGTCCTTGTGACTCGGCCCAAGATGACATAAAAAGCGAAGCGACTGTGTGAAAATGTTTTTGGTCAACAAGCAAAGTGGGCTCAACTCAAAACCCAATTCAAATATTGGGCACATTCAGTAATGGGCCGGGCTGAGCATAGACACGTATATATAAATCTCGCAGAAACCCTAAAATAGAAGCATCTCCCTGCTCCCGCCGCGCATCGCAAACAATGGCGGCGACTGCGAGGACTGTCAAGGATGTCTCTCCTCACGAATTCGTCAATTCCTATGCCGCTCATCTCAAGCGCTCCGGAAAGGTAATAGATCATCTATCTGAGCTATTTCAGTTTAACGTTTGATTCCCGAGTTTTTGAAATTCTTAGTTGAAGCATTTCTTGGGGTATACCAATTTGAGTAGCTTATGATACGAGGTGGCGACTCACACCGTACAATGTACGCGATTGCTTGAACGTTTTTTCTTATGATGTAAATTTCCTTTGTTGTTTTAAAGGTTGTGTTTTAGGATAATTTATCTTCTACAGAAGAACTCAAAAGATTCAAATGATAGACACTAAAGATTTTTTTCAAATGACTGTCGTTTTCTTGAATTAAAAATCTGATAAACCAAACCTGCTTTCTTGGGTGGTGGTTCACTTTCACAAATTTCTAAATTTATGCATCAGATTACTGTTTATTATAAGCTTCAATCTGAAATTGTAATGTAGTTTTTGTGGCTCCTTATTTACTGTGTACCATTTTATCCAACAAAACAGGTGGAGCTCCCAGAGTGGACAGACATTGTTAAGACTGGTGTTTTGAAAGAGCTTGCTCCTTATGATCCTGACTGGTACTACATCAGGGCTGGTAGTTATCTGTTTCCTTTCTTTTCCCTTTGTAAATGTAATATCTACTTGTGTTTGATCTGTTATGTGCCGTGTTTATTAACAATAAGAACGTAACATCAGTTACTCTCATTTTATCTTATATTTCCATGTTCGAAAAGAATGTGTATCATCTATTCTATCCAGACTGTGTTTTGTTTTTTCTTTTTATTTCGTAATATATTTTTGAATTGTGCAGCATCCATGGCCCGGAAGATATATTTAAGGGGAGGTCTTGGTGTTGGTGCCTTCCGTAGAATTTACGGTGGGAGCAAAAGAAACGGAAGTCGACCCCCTCATTTTGGGAAAAGCAGTGGATCCGTGGCTCGGCACATTCTGCAACAGCTGCAGAAAATGAACATTGTTGAGTTGGATGCCAGAGGGTGAGATCTCAATGCCTCATGCATTTACCCTTTGAAAATAACATGTTGTATGATTACAACATCTGGTGTTTACTTACTTACACATTTTTATTTCATCAGTGGGCGAAAAATCACCTCCAGTGGCCAAAGGGACCTTGATCAAGTTGCAGGACGAATTGCTGTGGTTGCACCCTGAAGTGTAAAATGTTTGGCTTCCTGTCTTGTAGCTTGTTGATGATTTTTCTTGGAGCAAATATTTGAATGAATTTTGATTGAATATGTTATCATGTTTTGATCTAAATCTTTTTCTACATCTTTTTTTTCTTTATGTTCTGTTTGCTAATGGGTTGTGACTCGACGAACTTTTTGATGTGCTTAGAAAAAGATCACATTTTTGGCTTGTCAAGATTGAAATGAAATTCTTGAATTCGACTTGTACTGGAACTGAGAAATGTTTTTTTTCCTGTCAAGTTTCTTTGTTGTACCTAGAGTTGGCGGCTCGATTTTGGCTTGGCTTGTTTGATAAACGAGACGTGGTTCAGCCATTTTTAAAAGTTTGTTGATAGTTAAGCTGATCTTTGCTCATGGTTTATATGTAATTTCATAAACTTTTAGCTTGGCTTGGTGAGGTTCAGGTTTGGCATTGTTAATATTAGGTCGTTTTTAGCGAATAATTCATTTTTAAATTCATTTTGCAGTAATTGTTGTATCAAACATTGATTCATCTCTAACTGAAAATTTCATTTTCATTTTTAAAAGATTTTTTTTTGAATATTTTTTTATATTAACTTTTACAACTTTTCAATATTATTCATATATTTTATAACTATACAAATTAAATTACACTATTATTTTGAGTTAGATTTGAGTTAGATTTTGAATCTATACAATAAAATTAATTATGTATTTGTAATTTATATTTTCAGTAGCTTTATTTTGACTTTAAATTGTATGAATACTAAAATTTTTATTTTCAGTAGTTTTATAATATTAATACTTTAACATGGTCTTATTTATTATTACAAAATAATAAGTATCACTTAAAACTGCAACATTATAAAAAAAAAATAGGTAAATAAAATATTTTGTTATTGTAACAAAATATGAAACATGAATTAGAGAAAAAAAAAAAGTAGATATCTACTATTATATAATAGAGTTAAGGTAAAATAAAATTTTGGTAAGTAAAATTTCCCGCTCTTTTTATGTGCATGTTTTGCATTTTGCCGCCTCTTTTTACGTGCATGATATTTTGAAATAGTTTGAAATAAAAAAAAAAAATTCCGATTGTGAACTCCTCAAATAAAGGAATAAAATCTTCCAAAACAAGATGAGATGAGATTTTATTCAATCCGATTTTTACCTTTTTTTTTGAAACGATTTTATCTTTTCCTTATTTTTTTGAACAGATTTCCTTATCGCATATTTTTTTCTTTTTTGCGGTTTATTTTCATCTCTTTCTGTTTTTTTTTGTATTTTTTTTTTTGGATAGTAGGGGATGATATTTGGTGAATACAATAATAAACTATTACTCGATTTTCCTTCTTTTTGGGTCATATCAGATAAGATTTGTTACATAAAATTATTCTTCAATTACAAACAAATTTATAGACTCTTATATAAAGTAGTGCATTCCTTTACATTAGATCAAAATTAAAGCAGTTAATAAAGGATTTTCGTGAGAAACAAATATTTGGTGAAGTAAAAGCAGGTATGAACATACTTTTCAAAATTTAATTTCATTTCATTTGAA